CTGTTTATTATTGATACCAATTAGTTTCGAGTTACCCAAAAGTACCGAGTTCTAGGAAATTTTCTTGAAAATAAATGGTATAAAATACAGACACAATGAAAACATAAACACATATGCAGTTTAATGTGATCCTTTATTGACAACGTTTCGCCCACACAGTGGGCTTTTTCAAGTCACAAACAGATCTGTTTGTGACTTGAAAAAGCCCACTGTGTGGGCGAAACGTTGTCAATAAAGGATCACATTAAACTGCATATGTGTTTATGTTTCCAGGAAATTTTCTTGTTTGATAACTACTGTGCTTGTCTAAGCAAATAGAGGATATCACAAAAATTTCTGAAGCTATTACTGTCATTACATAACTTATCCTCCTTACATATGTCTATTGGTGGCCCAACAGCCCAACAAATGCCAATGTCACAAGTCTGTCAGTAAAGATACCTCTCTATTGTCTTAATTTTGGAAAATTCTTTGGCTGTAAACAATTTAAAATTTTTGTACCTCAATGGACATCTGCCAAGGCAGGGTGATGCAAAGAAGAAAATGCGTTCACCATCATTCATTTAATTGCTGACTTTTTAGAAGTGTATTCCAATGCATGCCATTTATTAGGCCCATAATTTCATATAGATTAGAGAAAATGAACATACTCTTTGTATAGCTATAAGCTATACAAAGTGTGAATGCTGAGCTGAAGAAAAATTCTTGGCTACACTAGTGATACAGTGGTCCCTCAATAATCGTAAGGCTCAATAGTCATAATTTTCGAAAATTGTAACATTATTTTTGTCAAACCATTGGCTCGTGAATCGTCGTTTGACTCACAAGTAGTCGTTCATCTGGGACGCGTACACACAGCCCCGAGCCGCCTCACAATCCATTCCCAGCCAGTGTGCCACTGTTTATCAGTGAGTGAGGATGATCCCACGAATTCATATGATACATTTCATATTATTCTATTTGTTTTAGTGCTTGCAAGTGCTAAATAAGTCACCGTGGCTCCAAAGAAAGCTTCTAGTGCTAGCCCTTTGGTAAAGAATGTGAGAAACACATATAATTTAAGAAAAAGTTTGTAGAAAAATACGAAGGTGGTTGTGGTAGGGTGGAAGCAGTTGTGATAGTGGTAGAGGGTGGTAGTGATGGTGGTAGAGGGTACTTGCAGTTGTGATAGTGGTAGAGGGTGCTAGCAGTTGTAATAGTGGTAGAGGGTGGTAGCGATGGTGGTAGAGGGTGCTAGCAGTTGTGATAGTGGTAGACGGTGGTAGTGATGGTGGTGGTGGTAGCAGTTGTGATAGTGGTAGAAGGTGGTAGTGATGGTGGTAGAGGGTGGTAGTGGTTGTGATGGTGGTAGAGAGTGCCTTCTTCAGTGATTCAGCAATTCTACTAACTCCTACAATGTTGTTGGATTATATAGGGCTACAGAAAGTACCACCACCTCAGCTGCAGCCTTCACCACCATTATGGACGGCTTATGCTCTCAGTGGCCCTTATAGGCCCAACAACAACACAACACCTCTCGTGACATGCATTATGACTTATTTTATTCATTCTAAAGTATATTCCATGTTTTTATGTTATTAATATTGTTTATTAAGTCACGATAGTTGAATTGTGGTAGATAAATAAGCTGGAGAGTTGATATTAGTGTTATATTCTCCAACAAGAAACTCGCCTCCCCTCCCTCTGCCATACACCAACAAAAGTCTTCAATAAAAGGTAAGTGTGATGTTAAATGTTCATTTATACATTTTATTAGTGCTTTACATTTATTTGGCATTCTTTTCTGCAAGTAAATCTATATTTAAGCTAGGGAAGTGACCTAGAGTCCTTATGGAGGGGGATTCCCCTTCCAAACAATAACCTCTCTTCCCTCTCTCCTTCTCCCTGTCTTCCATTCATCAACAAAAGCCTTCAATAAAGGTAACTGACAGGTTTGAATGTTCATTCTTTTGTGCATGTAAATCTATCTTTAAGGTAAAAAAAAAATTGTTGATATTTCTGGGTGTCTGGAACGAATTAATTGGATTTACATTATTTCTTATGGGGAAAATGGATTTGAAAATTGTCAATTTCGATAATAGTCACACTTCCAGGAAAGGATTAATTACGAAAAAGTAGGGACCACTGTATTACAATCAGGTATGTGATTTAATAGTCAAATGGACTCCTCAAAAATCTATTATTAGTTGAAGTGGATGGTAAGCCATATTGAATTAACCCTTTCAGGGTCCGTCCCATAGATCTACGGCTTTACGTTCAGGGTCCAAACCGTAGATCTACGTCATGAGCTCAGCTCACTCTGATAAACTGTGAGTGGTACATTTGGGCCTAGATATGAGAGAATACATATATGTGGTATGTGTGCACCACATAAAACAAATCCTGCAGCACACAGTGTATAATGAGAGAAAAAAAACTGAGACCGTGATTTTCGATTAAAACAGCGACTTTGCAGTGTTTTTTTGTATGTTTTTTATAGTTGTATTTGTGATTTCTTGGTCTCATTTGATAGAATGGAAGACATATTACAGAAATAGAGCTAATTTTGATTGGGTTTAGCACTGGAAATGGCTTGAAACTGAGCTCAAAGTGGCGGAAATGTTAAATTTTTGCCGATGTTCAAGAGTAAACAAACAACCTCACACGTCTAATACACACCAGCTGGTGGGTCTAATATACATTCACAAATGTGGTGATGATATTTATACAATTATTACAATATTGCATAACAGTAAATCTTCTATTTTTTGGTGTGAATAAAAATTCATTATGTGAATAAAAAATCAAAATGGAATTCATTTGCAAAGCCTCAAAACATAACTAATGAACAGAGGAAATATTAGTTTAGTGCCAGGAATACCTACATTGTTTATTGTGGACCCTATTTTGAAATTGGAATATTTTGAACTTTGTGTTAAATTGGCCAAATTACCAATTTCCGGTCACTTTATTTTGTAGTTGAAACAGTTGACTTGGCGATTTCTTGTGCTCAATCGATAGAATGGAAGTAATACTAGTGAAATAGCTAAGAATTTGGTCGACTGGAATAATGTAATTGGCCTAAAATGGGAGTCAAAGTCGGCAAAATCGCCGATTCGTAAATATCGCTGACACATCAAAATTCACGAGAGCATAATTTCGTCAATTTTCCATCAAATTTCGTACTTTTTGTTTTATTACATTCACAAAAAGATTCTCTACCATTTCATAAGAAAAAAAAATTTTTTTTTTTTTTTTGAAAATTCTTGGACACTGGGGCACCACTTCAGATTTTGGCCTTGGACCCTGAAAGAGTTAATAACCTCCCACTGCGATCTTGTAATGTTTGCTTGGAAGAATATCAGGTATTCCTTGATTTATGTGATATTCCAGGCCCATGTCAGCTGTATTAATCTCAGTCAGGTCAGTAACAGTTAGGTATTTATTATAGGAACCTTCATTACATTTTGTGACTTGCACTGAATGCATAATGGAAATTTATATAGCACATAGGGAATTACTGGTAGAAAAGCAGCATAACATAAAAGTGAATTCACATAGAACAAGGGAACACCATCAGGTATAATAATCCTTGCTGGTCACCCAAAGATATTCCTAATAATATTGACATTCAATTAAGAAGTTTGGAATAAGATTTTCATTCATTAAACCTGAGGCCTAATAAGAAACTCCTCAGGTAATTAAGTACCAGGTGGAAGAAGCAACATTTCTCTCAACAAAATAAAGCACTGCTTGATAGATGAACAAAATCCATGTTGCAAGGATAAGAGTGATGTTAAATATGGAGTTACGATATTTGGGTATGTCAGGGATTTCTGTCTAGCAGAGATGTGTACAATAAGTGACTCCCTAAATACAGGAAGCTACATTAAATTAAGATGCCTCTTAAGAGAGCCTTTGCATTCACATCTTGGTCATTCAACTTCGAATACATCGTAAAAGTACCCAGTCATACACATACCGTATTGTACTTCCCGTTTCAGTACCAGGAGTACTGAACTCCAAATTTTCAAATTCCAATTAGTAATGTAAACAGAATACAGTGCATTTTGAAGAATGAGATGTTTTTTGTGTACTGTTTAATGAAATACGAGGACTGCCGATTTTCTAGTCAGCAGTCAACCCATCCTAAGGAATAACTGGCCAGCTTTGATTTCTTACATGTGATTTTAAGCAAGTTTATTGACATACTATATGTTATTTGGGTAAGTTAAGTTAGATTGTAGTCTACAGCATTAGCAAAAATTAATCAATGAAATAATACCACAATGCTAATAATACATACAAGAAATAAAAATTTGAAGAGCAAATTGAAAACAGACCCACTGAGCGAACTGTACAATACTCTACAATGTCACATGAGCAAATTTTAGTTATTTTGTCAACATCATATACCCAAAGTAAACATCACAGCCACAGGTGAAATACTAACACTGCTTAAGAGGATGAGCTACAGTTGTCTTGAATAGGGTTGTTCGAGTGCCATTATGTTAGGGTATTGGGTCTCTGCTGTTTAAGACATAAAAGAAAATGGGCCCCAAAAGAAAAAATGGGGACAAAATTAGGCCAAGTGGTTAAAATTAAATGGGGGAGATTCTAACTAGTAAATTTATAAGAAAAAATTGGCAGGTGGTCTTTTAGTGGTTCATGAAATCAGTACATTTCTAGAACATTTCCAACTTCACTCTTACATAAAGCCAACTTCATTATTACCTAGGTTCTGGCTGAAATGCTTAGCATACCATAGATTTTATATAAAAGATCCTAATTCAACTATATTTTTCTAAAATTCATACTAAATGTACTGTATTTTATAAGGAGAGTAATTTTTTTTTACAACACTAGCCACTTTTCACCTAGGAATGGTGACCCAAAGAAGGAAATACATTTATCATGATTCATTCAATAGCTGTCTTACCAGAAGTGCACAGATATCACAGTTCAAATAACCCTTTGAATAGTAACAGCTCCACCCATCCTTTAGAGTGCAGGCACTGTAC